ATACTTCATAGTTAAAATTTCTTTCAAAATGGCCTCTTTGTGCTCCTCTTATGTGACTTCTTTATTCATATTATTTCACTAATGGGTATCAAATGTATATATTTGCACAACTACTTTGTACAGCTTGACTATTAAACTATTGTTTAACATAATTTTTCACAACTTTTTAATCTATTATTTCCCTTTAGGAAGTGTCTTTCTTTTCCTAGAAAGCTATTATATAAGCACACTCTCTATCTGTGATTTATTCTCCAGGGTTCTGCCGTGGGTGAATTCTATCTTGATGATGGCCATTCATTCCAATACGTCCACCAGAAGCAATTCTTGCACAGGAAGTTTTCATTCTGTTCAGGTGTTTTGATCAACAGGTAATGTGTGCTTTCTTAAATAAATTATGCTATCCTTTTGTTATCCTCAAATGCACAGCTGACATTTTAAGGTCTTCTTTTAAAAAATTAATGCTAAATGTCATTTGTGGAGTATTTTTCTTTTCTTTTTTTTCCAGCTTCATTAAGGTGTAATTAACAAATAAAATGAAAATTTATTTAAAGTGTACAATGTGATGATTTAATATACACATACATTGTAAAAGGATTCCCACCAAGTTAGTTAACACATCCTTTGCCTTACATATTTACCTTTTTTTTATTGGAGAGAATACTTAAGTTCTACTCTCTTGGCCAATTTCAATTATACAGTATGTATTATCAGCTATAGTCACCATGTTATACATTAGATCCTCAGACCTTATTCATTTTATAACTGAAAGTTTGTACCTTTATACCAGCGTCTCCCCATTTCTCCCACCCACTAGCCCCTGGCAACCATCATTCTACAATCTGTTTCTGTGAGTTCAACCTTTTTTTTTTTTAACATTCCATATATAAATGATGCCATGCAGTATTTGTCTTTCTCTTTCTGGTTTATTTCACTTAGCACAATACCCTCCAGATTCATTCATGTTGTCACAAATGGCAGGATATCCATCTTTTTTAAGGCTGAAAAATATTCCATTGTATATATATCCCACGTCTTCTTCATCCATTCATCCCTTGACAGACACTTAGATTGTTTCCATATCTTGGCTATTGTGAATAATGCTGCAATGGACATGGGGGTGCAAACATCTCTCCGAGACAGTATTTCCTTCAGATATATACCCAGAGGTGGGATTCCTGGATTATATGGTAGTTCTTTTTTTTTTTTGGAGGAAGAGTAGCCCTGAGCTAACATGCACTGCCAATCTTCCTCTTTTTGCTTGAGGAAGATTGGCCCTGAGCTAACATGCATGCCCATCTTCCTCTATTTATACATGGGACTCCTGCCACAGCATGGCTTGACAAGCGGTGCTAGGTCCATGCCTGGGATCCGAACTGGCGAACCCCAGGCTGCCAAAGCAGAGCATACAAACCTAACCACTATGCCACCAGGCCGGTCCCTATATAGTAGTTCTATTTTTAATTTTTCAAGGAACCTCCATACTGTTTTCCTTAGTGGTTATACCAGTTTACACTCCCACCAACAGTGTACAAGGATTCTGTCTTCTTCACATTCTCACCAGCATTTGTTATCTCTTCTCTTTTTGATAATAGACATCCTAACAGATGTCAGAGGATATCTCATCATGATTTTGATTTGCATTTCCCTGAGGATTAGTGATGTTGAACACCCTTTCATGTACCTGTAGACTATTTGTATGTCTTCTTTGGAAAAATGTCTATTCAGGTCCTTTGTCCATTTTCTAATTGAGTTATTAGTTTTTTTGCTATTGAGTTATATGAGTTCCCTGTATATTTTAGACATTAACTCCTTATCAGATATGTGGTTACAGATATTTTCTCTCATTCCATAGGTTGCCTTTTCATTTTGTTATTGATTTCCTTTGCTGTGCAGAAGCTTTTTAGTTTGATGTAGCCCCACTTGTTTATTTTTGCTTTTGTTGCCTTTGCTTTGGTGTCAAATCCAAAACAATCGTTGCCAAGACCAATGTTAAGGACCTTACCCTTATGTTTTCTTTTAGGAGTTTTATGGTTTCAGGACTTATGTTCAAATCTTTAATCCATTTTGAGTTGATTTTTGTGTGTGGTGTAAGATAAGGGTCCAGTTTCATTCTTTTGCATGTGGACGTCCAGTTTTCCCAAAACCATTTATTGAAGAGACTTTCCTTTCCCCATTTTATAATTTTGGCTCCTTTGTCAAAAATTAATTGACCATATATGCCTGGGTTTATTTGTGGGCTCTCTGTTCTGTTCCACAGATCTCTGTGTCTATTTTTATGCCAATACCATATAGTTTTGATTACTTTAGCTTTGTAATATAGTTTGAAATCAGGAATTGTGATGCCTCCAGCTTTGTTCTTTTTCAAGATTGCTTTAGCTATTTGGGGTCTTTTGTGGTTCCATATGAATTTTAGAATTTTTTTTCAACTTTCGTGAAAAATGCCTTTGGAATTTTGATAGGGATTTCATTGAATCTGTAGAAAGGCTTTGTAGCATGGACATTTTAACAATATTAATTCTTCCAACCATGAACACAGAATATCTTTCCATTTGTTTGAATCTGCTTCAATGTCTTTCATCAATGTCTTATAGTTTTCAGTTTTTAGATCTTTCACCTTCTTGGTTAAATTCGTTCCTGAGTATTTTATTCTTTTTGATGTTATTGTAAATGGGACTGTTTTCTTAATTTCTCTTTCCACCAGTTTCATTGTTAATGAATAGATATGCAACTATTTTTATATATTGATTTTGTATCCTTCAACTTTACTGAATTCATTTATTCTAACAGTTCTAACAGTTTTTTCATGGACTCTTTAAGGTTTTCTATATATAATATCATATCCTCTACAAATAGAAACAATTCTACTACTTTCTTTGCAACTTGGATGCTTTTTATTTCTTTTTCTTGCCTGATTGTTCTGGCTAGGATGTCCAGTACTATGTTGAATAAAAGTGGTGTGAGCAAGCATTCTTGTCTTAACAAGAGAAAAGCTGAGATGTTGACTCTAATGTTAGCTGTGGGCTTGTAATATACGGACTTTATTATGTTGAGGTATGTTCCTTCTGTACCCAATTTGTTAAGAGTTTTTGTCATGAAAGGATGTTGAATTTTGTCACTTTTTCTGCATCTATTAAGTTGATCATATGATTTTTATCCCTCCTTTTATTAATGTGCTATATTACATTTATTCATTTGCATATGTTGAACCATCTCAGCATCCCAGGAATAAATCCGACTTGGTCATGGTGTATGATCCTTTTAATGATCTGTTGAATTCAGTTTGCTAATATTTGGTTGAGGATTTTTGCATCTGTGTTCATAAGGATATGGACCTGTAATTTTCTTTTCTTATAGTGTCCTTGCTGACCTTGGTCTCAGGGTAATACTGGTCTCATAAAATGAGTTTGGAAGTGTTCGCTCCTCTTCTGGTTTTTTGGAAGAGTTTGAAAAGGATTGGTATTAATCCTTTAAATATTTTGTAGAATTCACCAGTGAAGCCATGTGGTCCAGACTTTTCTTTTTTGGGAGGTTTTTGATTACTGATTCAATCTCCTTACTAAGTAATTGGTCTGTTCAGATTTTCTGTTTCTTCCTGATTCAGTATTGGTAGGTTGTATATTTCTAGTAATGTATTCGTTTCTTCTAGCTTATCCAATTTGTTGGTATATAATTGTTAATAGTAGTTTCTTATGATCCTTAGTATTTCTTTGGTGTCAAATGTTATGTCTCCTCTTTCATTTCTGATTTTATTTATTTGAGTCCTCTCTCTTTTTTTTCTTGGTAAGTCTAAAGGTTTGTATATTTTGTTTATCTTTTCAAAAACCACCTTTTGATTTCATTGATCTTTTCTATTGTCTTTTTAGTTTCTACTTCATTTATTTCCACTCTGATCTTTGTTATTTCCTCCTTCCTCCTGCTTAACTTCAGGCGTCATTTGTTCTTCTTTTTCTCCTTCGTTGAGGTGTTAAGTTAGGTTGTTTATTTAAGATCTCTCTTTTTTCTTAATGTAGGCATTTATTGCCTTAAAGTTTCCTGTTAGAGCTGCTCTTGCTGTAGCCCGTAAGTTTTGGTATGTTGTGTTTCCATTTTCATTTGTCTCAAGATATTTTATTTCTCTTTTGATTTCTTCTTTAACCCATTGATTGTTCAGGAACTTATAATTTAATCTCCACATATTTTTGAATTTTCCAGTTTTCTTCTTCTAATTGATTTCTACTATCATTACCATTATGGTCAGAAAAGATGCTTGATATAATTTCAGTCTTCTTAAATTTGTTAAGAATTGTTTTTTGGCCTAACATATGATCTGTCCTGGAGAATGTTCCATGTGTGCTTGAGAAAAATGTGTATTCTGCTGCTACTGAATGGAATGTTCTGTATATATCTGTTAGGTCCATGTGGTCTAATATATAGTTTAAGTCCAACATTTATTGATTTCCTGTCTAGATGATCTATCCATTGTTGAAAGTGGGGTATTGAAATCCACTACTATTATTGTATTGCTGTCTATATCTCCCTTCATATCTGTTAATATTTGCCTTATACATTTGAGTGCTCCAATGTTGGGTGCATAAATATTTACAAATGTTGTCACCTTTTAATGAATTGACCCCATTATCATTATATAATGACCTTCATTGTCTCTTATTACATTCTTTGGCAGAAAGTCTGTTTTGTCTGATATAAATATAGCTCTCTCTGCTTTCTTTTGGTTTCCACTTGCATGGAATATCTTTTTCCATCCCTTCACTTTCAGTCTGCATGTGTCCTTAAAGCTGAAGTGAGGGGGCTGGCCCCATGGCTGAGTGGTTAAGTTCACACATACCGTTTCCATGGCCTGGGGTTCGCCAGTTGAGATCCTGGGTGTGGACCTATGCTCCATTCATCAAGCCGTGCTGTGGAGGCATCTCACATGGAAGAACTGGAATGACCTGAAACTAGGATATACAACTATATACTGGGGCTTTGGGGAGGGAAAATGAAAAGGGGAAGATTGGGCAACAGATGTTAGCTCAGGGCCAATCTTCCTCAAAAAACAAAAGCTGAAGGGAATCTCTTATAGGCAGCATATAGTTGGATCTTGTGTTTTTAGCCACTCAGCAACTCTGTCTCTTTTGATTGGAGAATTTAATCCAAATACATTTAAAGAAATTATTTTAGGACTTACTATTGACATTTTGTTAATTATTTTCTGGCTGTTCTGTAGTTCCTTTGTTCCTCTCTTCCTTTGTAATTTGGTGATTTTCTCTAGTAGTAGGTTTTGATTCCTTTCTCTTTATCCTTTGTATATTTGCTATAGGTTTTTGCTTTGTGGTTACCATAAGGTTTACATAAAACATCTTTTAGTTATAACAGTCTATATTAAGCCAATAACAGCTTAATTTTCAACACATAAAAAGCTCTACATTTTTACACTCTCCTCCCCACATTTTATGCTTTTGATGTCACAATTGATATCTTTTTATATTGTGTATCCACTAACAAATTATTATAGCTATCGTTATTTTTAATACTTTTCTCTTTTAACCTTTATACAAGAGTTGTAAGTGATTTACCCACCACCATTACATCATTAGAGTATTCTGGATTTAACTACATATTTACCTTTACCAATGAGTTTAATACTTTCATATGTTTTCATGTTATGACTTAGCATCTTTTCATTTCAGCTTGAAGAACTACCTTTAACATTTCTTGTAAGGCTAGTCTAGTGGTGATGGACTCCTTCAGCTTTTGCTTTCTGGAAAGCTCCTCGTCTCTTCTTTAATTCTGAAGAAAAACTTTGTTGGGTAGAATGTTCTTGATTGACACTTTTTTTCTTTGAATCTATCATCCAACTCCCTTCTGGCCTGCAAGGTTTCTGCTAAAAAATCTACTGATAGTCTTATGGGCGTTCCCTTGTACATTACAAATTGCTTTTCACTTGCTGCTTTCAAGAGTCTCCCTTTGTCTTTAACTTTTGACAATTTAATGACATGTATCTTGGTGTGGCTTCTTTAGTTTCATCATATTTGGTGCTCAGTAGGCTTCCTGGATCTGGATGTCTGTTTATTTCCCCAGGTTAGGGAAGTTTTCAACCATTATTTCTTTTAATAAGCTTTCTGCCCCTTTCTCTTCTTGTCTTCTTCTGGGACCCCTATATGATGCATATATTGGTCCACTTGATGGTGTCCCCTAAGTCCCTTAAGCTGTCCTCACTCTTTCTCATTCTTTTTTCTTTTTGCTCCTCTGATTGGATGAATTCCACTGCCCTGTCTTCAAGTTCGCTGATCCTTTCTTCCACTTGATCTAGCCTGTTGTTGAAAGCCTTTATTGAATTTTTCAGTCCAGTTATTGTATTGTTTAACTCTACAGTTTCTGTTTGGTACTTTTTCATATTTTCTATCACTTTTTTGAAATTCTCACTTTGTTAACGCATTGTTCTCTAACCTCAGTAAGCATCTTTATGATCATTATTTTGAAATCTTTATCAGGTAAATAACTTATCTCCATTTAATTAAGGTCATTTTCTGTGGCTTAATTGTATTCTTTGGTTTGGAACATATTCCCTTGTTTCTTCATTTTCCTTGACTCTCTATGTTGGTTTCTGCAGATTAGATAAAACAGCCACTCAGTCTTGTGTAGGAGATGAACCTCGTCAGTCAGCCTGGCCTCACTCTTCAGGGAGAAGCTGGGAGTTGGGGTTTCCCTCCCAATTGTATGGCACTGTGCCAGGGGTAAGGGTTATGATGAGAGTGTTTCCAGCCTTTCCTGCTTGTTTTGATGTGGGTATTTTCTCAGTCGCCCAATGTATAGGAGTCACTCAACTAGTTTCTGGATTTCTCTGAAAGGAAATTGCTCTGTATGTAGTTTTACATTCAGTGTCTCCATCGGAGGAGGAAAATTCAGGAGATTCTTACATTGTCATCTTGGTCCAGAGTTCCCCTGGAGTATTCTTCAATTGCCCCATGAAACTCCCTTCCTTATTGTCTCCATCTTCTTTTCCTTTCCTCTCTAAAAAGTAAAAAAGAATTCAATTTAAGTTCCCATTAATCCCATTTATTTATCCATTCATCAATTCATTAAGTGTCTGATTTTTACAATTTGATTGCAGTGTCCAAGTCACATTTGTGACTTCAGTGTCCTCAGGTGATTTCTCTCCAAACCACTTGTTAAAAGGAGATTAGTTTGGCTACTGGTTAGCTAGTCCTCAGCACATAATCATCTTTTTTCAACTCTTCATCCTTGTAAATGTGACAACTTTATGGTTCTTGCCTCCATAGGGAAAGATGGGAGGGGAACTAACAAGGCTGAGGATGTTGCCCTAGTAACCAATCCAAACCCCTGTTCCTCTCTTTTTCCTAATGCCATTTGTATCTATTCCAGTTGTGCCGATGAGAGAGGTCGTTATCCCAGCAAGTGTGTGGTGGAGCAGATCTTTATCCTAGGCCTCAAGAAGAAGCCATCTTCTGTGACCACCCACTCATCTGGTGAGGAAATAAGCCATTTGTTTTTGTAAACATAGAAGTATCTATAGTGAAGAGATGGTTAGTCCTAAAACTGACACAATACACTTAGCCAAGTGGACTCTGCACTTCCTGGTAGAGGTCAAATATACTAGCATCTAGAGAGAGTCAAGCCATTCTGCTGCCCTTCATCAACTGGTCTTTCTGCTCTCTGTAAGCTGTTAATATTTTTTTACGGGATATTATTTGAGGCTTGAAATACTGTTGTAACTTCTCTGAATATTTTTTAAACTGTACATGTCTGAAGCCCTGGAGAATCCTACTCATGTTTATGGAATTTCTTAAAGGTTATAGGATGGGCTATATCCTTCCTTACCTACTGAATTTCGTGGACAAATCACTTTGTTCCTTACAGTTTCTCTTCAACCATTCTTGTGCTCAAAACACTGGAGCGTTTAATCTTTAAAAAACTCATGGAAGTCCATGGGTAAAAGTGCTGTTAATTTGGATTCTCCTAAGTGGGGTATAAGGTTTTAATGCAGAGTTAGAAACATTTCACACAAAGAAAAGATTTTTCTCTCCTAGATATTCATCAAATTTTCCCTTTTATTGTCTTGATATTTAGGTGGTGAAGACCAGCCTGTGGCTTTTGTATATTGTGCCAAAACATCCACCTTGAGCCTGGAGAAGCTCTCACTGGACATTGGTACTGACTGGGAGGTCCACGTCAAATGACAGAGAAGCGCGCCTGGGGACGAGTGCAGGAACAGCCTGCACCTGTCGGCCTTTCCCTTGGCCTTTTTTGAGATTTGTGCTACATGCTAATTGACTGCTCTGGCTCAGAACAATCATCTTTCATGAGTCACCAGTTTACCAATGAACAATAGGTTTCAGATTTTACATTTGTGGATGTACTAGTAATACTCTTTGAGTCAAATACCACCTCTTTTCCTGATGCAAGTAGCCCCGAGATATTTATAGAGTTCATGAATCTTCCATTGCTTCTTGGGCTGTGGCTCCGTGGTTAGACCTGTAGCCCAGTGAGCAGCTGCTCTCTGAGCACAGCTTCGATGGGTGTGTTTGCTGTGAGATGTGGGCCGGGCCCACCTCCTGTGGCCCATTGGTGGAATCTTGCCTCAGCCCCTGCAGCAGAGTCACTCAGGCTACAGCAGCTGAGTTTCTCGAGGCCTGTCCCCAAGTGGACAGCAGCTCTGGTACCCCTTGCAGTTATCTTTCGCCCACTTAGACGTGGGGAAAACAACCCTTTTCTGCTTGCACTGCGTACGTCGCAGCAACAGGGAGTATACTCCCCTAGACTGGCTCAGGGACACAAAGGATTCTCTTCCCTGTCATGCTTTCTGGGTTCCAAAGTTCTAAATTAGTCTTCTTAAAGTTCTAACTTCTTTATCTTAATTGTTTTTCTTAAATATTTTCTACTGGCCAAAGAATATTTGTAACATGAGTAAGCTCTAATTTATAATAATAAAATAAACACCATGTCCCCATCACCGAACTTCAGAATAGACCGCAGGCTGGGACGAGGATGAGGCACTTGCCTTGGGCACAGAATGTAAAGGGGTGGCAAAAACCCTATAGTAATCAAAGTAAATAATATTTTAGTGCAGTATTTTTAAAAGTCAAAATTAATGCAAAAAAATCCATGATGAAGAAAATACCAAAATTTTAAATAAAGATGGGATCGGTATTACCGAGTTTTCCTTTTGCCTCAGGCTCCAGTACGGCTTGGCATGGATTAGAACATTACAACATACATTTCCTCAGGACGCTCCCTGCTCTGGTGACACCATGACTCCCTGCTGCCTGCCACAGCGTCTGTTGGGGCTGCCTCATGTCCTCAGCACCCCTCCACATGCACATTTTCTTATCAGACTTCTTCTGCTTAGCAACTTGCCAGCTGCCATCTCTGCCTTTTGTTCCCTGGGCCCCAATATCCACTGCCTTCCCTCTACCTATGCAGATCTTACCCTCTGCACAGGCCCTACTCAAATCCCACTTTTCCATGAAGTCTTTCTAACCACCCTGTCACCCCTACTCCCCCTTGCCCATAAGCGGTGATTTTGCCCCTCTCTGAAATGCTGCCGTATTTATAACATGTGCTGTACTTATTCTCAGGGACGATCCCTTAATGTTTCAGGTCTGTCTGTCTCATTGCCCTGCTAGACTGTATGTCCCCAAGAGTGTGTTATAGTTGTCTTAGCTCTGCCAGAGCACCATTAGACTTGGCTTTCAGTAACTGTTCTCTGTAATTGCGTAACTAATGGATTTGATTGATTAAAAAGTGAGAATTAAATGTATTTGTTTCTGATTTACTTTTCTGACATAGGACTCTTCCTCCAGATGTAGTAAACGCTGTGCATTTCCTTGGGGAACACGTTTCATTGTATCAGTTGAGATTTGAGCTTTGCACCATATATAAGCTCACACAGACGTATGCAGATACTTTGCTCCTATTTCTTTAAGTTTTGTAATTAAGGAGAAAGGAAAAAGACCTACATGAGCTAAAGTCATATTTCCCAGCTTCAAATTTCCCTTGCCAGCCTACAATAAGACTTAACCTGAAACCTGGGTGTTCTTACCTAATATAAATGATGGGTTTTAATAGCATTTAAAGCTGAATAATTAAGACCTATATTCAGATCAACATTTATTGCATGTCTATTCTTCCATTTAAAATATTTTTGGAGGAAGGAATGAAATGAGAACTAGTAGAGTAAGTTAGAGAGGAACTGCTCTGTCTTGACCCAGAACTATACTGAAACGTTCAACTAGAGACGTTGAGTGGCGAGAAATATAGTCTGGGTGTTTTTGACTGTTCTCTGCTCTTATTGCTTCTCACACCTTACCCACCTCCGATTTCTGAAGTTATGTACCAGAGAGCTATGTGGGGGCTGAGTTGGCCTAAAGGTGTTCAGTTACCTTTGTCAATTTAAAAAGCAAATTCACTTGTTATTTTATCCTCAAAATGAGTTTATTTCGAAATAACCAAAAGAATTGCAATTTGGGATGTGCGTGCTATGGCAAACCATAGGCAAATCCAAAAACAAAGGAAGGGAGCTGCTTTTGTAGAGAAAAAAAGGGGGAGTAGGGAGGGACTGTTCTAAAGGAAAGTCCACGGTGGAAAGTAACATTTCGGGGCGGCAACAGCTTCTCATTGGCTGGGCTCTCGGCAGGTGGGGAGAGGAATCTTCCTGCAGTAGTAAAGCAGTTTTACTTCCTGTCCCAGATGCAAGCGTAGTCTCTTCCTGTTTGGTGTTGTTGACAATGTGTGACAGGGGTGAGAGCTCCCCCTCTAGGTCTTCCTGACTCCAATTTACTTAAGATTTCTTTTATGACTCTCCACACCTTGTAGATACTTTTTGATATGTTTTCTCAGGAAACTGGATTTTATGTAAGAAATTAGAATCCTTTCAGCAGAGATTCAGACGAAGCACTAAAATGAATGCATACTGTGTCTTTCCTTCGAGACTTAAATGCTAAGGAATGAGTTGACAGATCAGTTTAAAAACAGAAACTGCCCAACAGAAACATGGGCAAAGGTAATTCACAAAAGAAATTGAAACAAAGAAGCATGAAAGATGCTCAGCCTCATTAATAATCAAAGAAATGTTTTTTGGGTTTTTTTTTGCCTAATTGGCAAAGATTAAAAAAAGTGAAAATGTCCAGTGCTGACACTGGTAGGGGGAATAGGCATTTTTGTGGATCATTGGTGGAATTAAAAATAAGTACGATCTTTTAGTATGGCAATCTGGCAGTAGTATCAAAATTTTAAATGTGCATGCTATAACCCAGCAATTCCACTTCAGGTAAATCCATTAAATTGCTCAGAGCTACTAACTACAATGTTGAAAACTAGAAATAAGCTAAATGTCCTTTAACAGGGGATTGGATAAAAATAGCCCTTTCTTACAGTGGAATATTATGCAACCATTAAAATAACAATCCATATGTATCAACACAGAAGTATGTTTTTAATAAAATGTTTACTGAGTGATTTCATTTAAGTAAAAGTTACAATAAATAAACTGAAATTGAGGGTCATCCTATACTCTTCAAAATATGAAGGCCGTAGGGGCCGGCCCTGTGGCCGAGTGGTTAAGTTCATGAACTCTGCTTCAGTGGCCCAGGGTTTCGCCACTTTGAATCCTGGGCACGGACATGGCACCGCTCGTCGAGCCACACTGAGGTGGCATCCCACATGCCGCAACTAGCAGGACCCACAACTAAAAATACACAACTATGTACTGGGGAGCTTTGGGAGAAAAAGGAAAAATAAAATCTTTAAAAAAAAATATGAAGGCCATAAAAAACAAGTCTAAGGAACTATTCCAGATTGAAGTGGGGACTAAAGAGACATGACAACAAATGTGTGATCTTGGCTTGGATTCTGAATCGATAAAGGACATTATTTGGAGAGTTGGCAAAATTTGAATGGGATCTTTTGATTACATGGTAATTTTCCTAATTTTGAGTGTTGTTCTATGATTATATAGAAGAATTTTCTTGTTTTTAGGAAATATATACTGAAGCGTTAAAGGGTAATGGGCTGTCATATCTCTAACTTACTCCCAAATGTCTCAGGAAAAAAAATTTTTGTATATATAAGAGAGAGAAACAGGGAGAGAAAATAGGCACAATGTATTAAAACGTTATAATCGAAGAATCTGAGTGAAGGGTATACAGGAATTCTTTATACTGTATTTTCAACTTTCCTGTAAGTTTTAAACTATTTCAAAACAAAAAGCTTAAAACCAAAAGCGCTGGGCCACATCTCTATCATATCTAATAGCTTTAAAACGTTTAGTTTCTATTGTTGTGAAAGCTTGTAAGCTGTGGCATGTAAAATAGGGTGAAACGAATGGAGTTAACAGTGAACTCCAGTACAAGAAAATACTTTTAGTTCTGATGCTGCAGACCACTGGCAATCTTCGTCAGATCAGCTCTTCTTCACCTGAGAAATGCTGGGCCAGGCCGAGTCCTCTACTTCAGGGAACACAAATACCGTCTTCCGAGCACCAGGCCAGCAGCCCCTGACCCTGTGCCACCCACACTGTGACAGCACTCTATGTTGCTTCACCACAGAGGTCTTGTCTAACGGCAGGAGCTGATCAAGGAGCCTTCAGGAGGCTATTTACACTAAGAAATGGACTAGAATGCACACTTATGGCAGGCATTTATTTAAGGCAGATGCCCTGTATAATGGCGAGGGAAAGTCCTTCACGCATTTGAAAAGCCGGTTTGGTAACCTTCCTTCTTTTCCCAGATCAATGTCATCCTGCAGATCCTCGCTATGGTGGATCTGGGTTGGTCAGTTCCTCGTAGAAGTGATCCCAAAGTGATCCCAGCATGTAGGTTCCAGTTTGACTAGGTGCCAAGACATTCCCTGCCCAAGGAGGCTGGTTTCATTTAAGATTGACCTATAGGACTAATTATGTTCTGGGGTGCAGCTCACTTCAGAACTAAGTGAACTCCAGGGTCATAGTCTCATGCGTCAACATGAGCAGAGCGAATCACAGATCGGCCCATTCTCCTAAGGGCTCCTTAGAGCAGAAAGCCCACCTTGTCTTCATGAGTTTGCCTTAAACTTAAGCGAAGACTTGTATCCTGGTTAAATCAAACTGGCCAATCAGATTGCTACAGCCATACCTAAGAGCGCAATTCTGGAGTTCGACCTGTGTGCAGAATTCCTTCACTTTTTCACATCTCTTTCATTCCACGATATCATAAGGATAGGTAGCAGAAACACAGTCAAAACACCTAAATATCTGGAGCTTAATGGTTTTTAGCTCATAATTGACCATCCTACCTAAAAGTCTTCCTAGTAATGGAATTCCTATGACAATATCAAGAATTCCACTCTGCTTTTAAGATTTCCATCTACCAAACCCTCTGAATGCCCTGCCTAATTCCAGGTGGGATGGCACTCTAGACTAAAATAACTTCTCGTCCCAGGGGATAGAAAGCCGTCAGCGGCCCCACTGGAAACAGATTATCATATTAACCACAGACAATGGAGGCCATATAACTAGCATTCTAGGAGAAATAAAGGAGACTTTGGCATCTGATATCAGATCTGCCTGTCTTATGACCAGCCCTGCTAAACACTGCAGTGCTACAGCGAGGCCAGCCAGAATTAGACAGCTGCTTCTTGACAGTTGTTCCCAGCCAGGCTGATGGTGTTTCCAGCCAGAGTGAGGGGAAGGGAAGCACTGACTATTTATATGCAAGGATCCAGAGATCTTATGCCTAATTCACTTTACTGGCGTCTTGGTCACACATTTACTCAGTCACTGGAAGTCAGGAGACCTGGAGTCTAGTTGGCTCTGCAGTGAACTGGCTGAGTGATCTTAGCCATGTCATTTAATCTCTCTAGGCCTTGGTCTGCTCATTTGTTAAAGAAAAGACATAATCTCTGAACTCCTGTGAGTTTTCCATGACTTAACTGAAAAAATACAACAAATATCTCAAGTTTCCTTAGTTGTAAAATGAGATTAGTCAAACCCACAGGACTGTTGTACAGATTAAAAATATTCTATGCATTTGGAAAGGAAAACATACTAACATTACTTTGGAGAAACCCAGTAAACACCACCCTAGCCAAGCGATCAAGGTTGGCATCACCTATAATAAAACACACCAATATTATGTATCCCCAGGTATGATTTGATGAGAATGCACCTCACCTCTGTGACAGTCTTTCCCCCAAATCCAGAACTTCGGTCTAATCATGTAAGAAACATCAGACAAACTCAAGTTGAGGGACGTTCTACAGCATACCTGACAAGGACTCTTCAAAAGTGCCAAGGGCATGAGAGACAAAGACTGTGGATCTGTCAGAGATTGGAGGACACTAAGGAGACAGGACAGTTAAATGCCATGTGGGACCCTGGATCAGGTCCTGCAACAGAAGAGAAAAGAAAAACCATTAGTGGAAACACTGAAGAAGTCAAAATATGTCTTGTAGTTTAGTTAATAGTAGTTTACCAACATTAATTTCTCAGTTTCAATCCTTGTGCCATGCATGGTGATATTAGGGGAAGCTGGGTGAAGGGCACACAGGAGGGAACTCTGGACTATCTTTGCAACTCTTTTGTAAATCTAAAATTTCAAGTTTTTAAAACTATGTGAAATGGCAAGCTCACAGTAGGTACTTAATGAATTGTAGGTGGTATAGCAAATACATTGCTTCCAACAGCATTGAATCAAAGACATCTTTATTGGTGGAAAAGACAGTGATATGGAGCCATTAATTGGCCTTGGTGCAACAGCAACCGTTCCAGCCATGGATATTGCATATGTATATGTATTATGAAATATGTATTAAATATGTATTAAAAACTAGCTCTTTATCCTTAAAGAGGCTTCCGGGAATTGAAATGTGCAGCTGTTCATATGCTCATTATCTGCCCTTTGTTCACGGGCTCAGATTGGATTTCTCTCTGATGGCAAGAATTTCTACAGCTGTGCAGTTCTGCAGCTGAATGAACCTTGAGTTTGGACCTGCTAATCCAAGAGGGGATTTTTATCCACAACAATTGGTAGAGCAAAATGAATAGCATCTTGCACTCTGTTTTTGATATTCCCATCCTGCTATGACAAGAGGCTCGTCTCTATCACACACTTGTCTTAGTTACCAACAGATGGAGCTGGCTTAGACAGCCCAGGAAAGAGAAGTCAGCATGTGTGTGGCCCTGACACAGCTCCTCTCCCAGGGGCAAATCAGCCAAGAAACGCTGATTGTACCAGCAAAGCAATAAGTGTAAGAAATTTCTCCTCACACAGGGAAATGTCATTCAACAGGTATACAATACATATTTATTAGGAGTCTTTTATATGCTTAACTCTGAGGGTGGAATGGGGACCCAGTTCCCATCTTCACAGAACTTACAGTCTTATGGGCAAACAGGAAGCTCACTAAGCAGAAACAATAAAACGTGGGTTGGTGCTGTGAATTTCAAGGTGGTATAGAGCACTGGGCTGGGACGCAAACATATGATGGGGGGGGCGGGGAGGAAACTCCCCTGCTTTGCTTTCCATGCCATTGGTGAGTTGGAGGGTGGAAGTCAGTCTTCTTAGAGGCTCTTTTAGTGCAGGGTGATAGGAGACGCTGTGACCACACGATCCCGGGCAGATTGCGCCTATCCCAGTGCCGCACACATGGAAGATGTTCAGTAAGTGCTCATGGAGTGAATGCTGATTTGCACCAATTAGTGACTGTCATTCAACTTGATCTGACCCCAAAGTAATATTAAAGTTCAGATCATCTCTAACAACAACAACATTTATGGAGTGCCTAAGACAACTTGTTTAATTTTTACAACAACTCAATAACAGAACGACTATCATTGTACCCAATTTATAGGTGAGAAAACGGAGACACAGGAAGAAAGGAAGAAGTAAATCACCTAAAGTTACACAGGCACAGCTAGTGAGCAGCAGGCCCAGACTTTGACCCTAGACAGTCAGCTTTCAGAGGCTGCCCTCCTCTATTCTGTCTTTCCAAGACTCGTTGCAAAGATCCTTGGATATTTTCTTAGAGGGACAAGAGGGCTGATGGTTCCCACAAGCTGCAACTCCAGACGTAGGGCTTCTCAGAGCTGCCGCCCCAGGAATCATGAGCCCGGGAGCACTCCCTGTTCTAGCTGTCACTTCTCACCTTCTCTCATAGCCTCTAGCTTTGGGCCAATGAGACTGGTCGCATGGGAACAGGCAGGGCTGCAGTCTGGGACAAGCCTCCACTCAGCCACACTTGGAGTGTGGCCATCTCCTTAAGGCCTGGGTGGCAGCTACCATGGGTGGAAAACAAGGTGGAGGCCAGGCAGGAAGTTCCCTTCCCCAGAGCCACTTGTGCTCTCATCTAAGAGGCCTGAAACCAACGTTTTTGGTTCAACTTGATGGCCAACTTGGTTCAGTATCCTATTCCCACTTCTGACTCAGATGTCTGATGTGGCGTTCCTAAATAATCTGTACTCAGGTGCACTTATTGTAGCAGATTTGGCCCCAGTATTTATTTTGGGGGTGGGGAGAGACAACAGGTAGCTAGGTCAGGTGGGCAAGAAAAGGCAGAGATTTTCTCAGCTGAGGACTCTGCAGAGTAGCATTTTCCACCCAGACAGTTCCATTGAACAGTGACTCCAGAACATTCTAGCAGAGAAGCCAAATCCAACCAAATGATATTCGGATATCCTAGAGATTTAGAAAGAAATAATCATGTTCTCAAAAATGCCTACAATATTTTACTAGAATTCAGCATCTCACATTCACCCTTGCTAGCTTTTTTCAACATTGTTTTCCATTAATTTGGCGGCCAACAGTTTGATAGTCTGTATCACCGACTATTCAAGGACACATCAGCAGTTCTTTGCTAATTTCCAGTGTTCAACTTACTCAAATATTCCCCTTTCATGTCCTGACAACACCAGCACTTCATGGCAACACAGAAATGTCCTTAGCCAGGCCCTTCTCTCTCCACCACGCAGTCTAGCTGCACGCTAGCCTCTCCCTTGCTCTCATACTCATGATCTTCCTTCATGTCTATTTTTAGTTTTCCTGGCTCAAGCTTCTTCAGGCCACTGAAACACAACCCTCACTCTCTTTCTCTCCCTCTGATAGGAGGCCCCTAGGTAAAAATTGCTGGAGAAATCCTTCACAGCTCCTTCCTCAGGAAAACCTACGGCTTTGGGATCACAGCTCAGTCTTTAAGATGGACGTAAGCTGGACGATCTTCTGATGGGCTTCAAACTTTGAATTGGATGTGGACATTTTTCTCTCAGATGACAGAACCACTCCAACTTCCCCTTTGCAGTTGCTTCCTTTCCTTGAAGGTAGCTGCCTCTTGTTTTCTTTAAAAATCTTTTCCTTCCAAATTTGCCTGCCATGCCGACCGTCATTAGCGCTTCCGTGGCCTCGCGGACAGGGGCTGAGCCCATGTCCCCGGGGCCGGTTGCCCATCCAGCCCAGGGCAGTACCACTGAGTCAGGGGGTGGAAATCCAAGTGGCAACTATTCTGCCATCATCAGCCGCAATTTTCCTATTATCGGAGTGAAAGAGAAGACATTTGAGAAGCTTCACAAGAAGTGTCTGGAAAAGAACGTTCTTTATGTGGATCCTGAGTTCCCACCAGATGAGACTTCTCTCTTCTATAGCCAGAAGTTCCCCATCCAGTTTGTCTGGAAGAGACCCCCGGTGAGTAGCTTACTGGTTGCTGGTTGCGGTTTTTTCCTCTAAGTCCTCCCACTCAGCAGGTCCCGGCAGCTCCACTGTGCACATGGGCTGTGTACATGGGCTTGGGGAGCCCTGCAGCAGCTCCACCGAGCTCAGTCCTCGGGCGAGGCAGGGCTGATTCTCACTCTTTCTGAAAAAAATCTTGCTTTTTATAAACGTACTTGGAACTCAATTTAATCCACCCTGTAAAAGTAAATATTCCTTTCCCAGAACAAATTCCAAACAGTCCAGATCTACCCTCTCTAAGTATCTTGCATCTTTATAAGATTCCTTCCATTTCTTGGGCTAAAATCATGATGTTGTTCTTTAGTTTGCCAGGAGCCATGTCTTTCTGAAACACAGAAGCCCTGGAAAAAGGAGACTGGCAGGCAGAGACTGGCAGGCAAAGATTGCTTTTACGTGCATAAATGTCGGGATTAGCAGGAGAGAGCCTAGCCATCATTTTCGCCTGTATATTTCCCCACACAGATGAGGAAATAAAGGCACACCAGAGTGAAATGTATCCGGTGAGCACATGACAGCCCAAATAAAACTCTTTCTCTTTTAGTTAACTCTCCAGCCTCTGGGTTTCATTTACAGTAATCTCCCAGAGGGAAAATCATAGTCTCCTGGCTCCCTTCTCTAATCATACCTCCAGTATGACTCTTGTGTTTTTTTGGTTTGGGGTTTTGCTTTTTTACTACTGTTCTTAGTTGAAGAAATATTTGTTGAGCATCTACTAGAGCCAGACACCAGGCAAACAACTGGGAAGATAGCAGTGAATAAGAAAGACAAAAATTTCTGCTCTCCTGGAGCCTGTTGTCCTGAGGGGAAGATGCCCATTGACTAAGAGTGATGACTGTCAGGAGACAACGTTCAGGGTGCTCTGGAGCTAACCGAGGCTGGGGAGAGAGCCCCTCCCTGAGGAAATCATTGCAGCCGAGGCCCAATGCTATTCATTAGCTTAATCAAGTTAAACTCACACCCAAAGCTATTCATTTGCCATGGTTTTCTTTCGAACCTGAGATGGAATATCCAGCAACCGTGTTCTCACCCTGTGCGTTCCACAAGGCCCCTTTCCTCCCCTGACGGTTCTGTGATGAGGCCCATGACTGTCCTGAAGGTCTCGGTTTAGAAGAGGGGACTAGAAAGAACTTCATTCTCCAACTCAGTCGCTGTCCTGCTGCCAGAGTATGGGGACATGTCATACCCCTGCTGAAATATCTTCCATGACACTGTTCTCTCCTCCCCCCATGCCTTCAGGATGAGTCCAAACTCCTTAGTGGAGATATAGGCCGTTCTCAAGCTGGCCTCTGTCTACCTGTCCATCTTATCTTTACCCTTTGCCCCTGGACCCTGACACATTCGGTTGCTCTGTTGTTCCGAGTCTTCTCATACCTCGAGGGCTTTGCTCATGCTGTCCACCTGTCTGGAATGACCTTCTTATTTTTTATCTGATTTGCTCCTTCTCACCCTGTCTTCTAAATTCTGCTCAGGTGTCACTTCCTTCAAGCTTTCTCGTGTCTGTTCCCCTCCCGCTGAGAGCAGAGACTATTCCTGTGCATCTTTGGATCCCCTTTACCCAGCCAAGGGCCAGGCCCACAGTAGGTACTTAGCTGCTAGCGGTGAAGGATAACCCACATCTGAGGGGGTTGATCACCGAGAGATAAGGACAGCCCTGTATTCCAAGGCTGGGAGTTCTTAAAAGCCTTTTCTAATACCACCGCAGAGAAAAAAACTTACAAATACTGTTTTCATAAAATCATTGGTAGATTTTATTCTCAAAAGCTAGACTTGCAAATTAATGAAAACATTTTACGGGCTATTATGCTCTAGGCACTAGATCCACCCTAAACTTATTCTGTCAGCATCAGTGTGAGAGGAGGGATGCCGAAGACCTCTCCGTTCCAAAGTGTACTCTTACCACCACTACCACCCAGAAGCCTGAATTCTCTGCTGTCACTAAGAGTCCAGACAGGAAAGTCCACTCTTGGTTAAAATGCCCATATGTTCCCCTGTGGATAAGATCAAGTGAACACTGCTTATGGGGTCTACCAGCATAAATTAGAATGTAGAATTAGAGATGGTCCGAGTTGGAATAAATCTTTGAGATGTGGTCCAGCCCCCTTATGTACAGGTGAAGTGATTAAGGTTCACAAAGAGCAAATGACCTATCTCCAGTCACACAAGTTGATTGAAATTGAAAAACTGACATGATTCCAGAACTTTCTGAAATGTAAAGCACTTCTTGGAGACATAAGTCTTCCACGCACTTACATAGATGTAGTGACCTTTGCCGGGCTTGAGCAGTCTGAAAACCAATCTGAATTTCTCTTCAACAATCAAATATTGCTTATTACAATCAGATGATGATGATGATGATGAAGGGGGAACTATTCATGGCCAACTAGAATTCTAGTCAAGACAGCATGCTGCACTTTCAGCCTTTCCCTCTTAAAAGACGAGAGATTCGTGCCACCTGTCCCTAGTACACCTGTGATCTCTTCCTACTCGACCTACCAGTGCCACCTCACTGCCTTTCCTCATCTGTTAGGGAGCAACACACGTTGAGTTTCCAGGCCAAACAGTCTGATTCCTCTAGCCTTTCCTTATATGATCTATTTCTAGCATCAGAAAGCAAAAGACCCATATAATACTTCCCAATTGTTAAGCCAAATGTTCTTGATGACAGACCCTTGGGAAGAAGAGGATGGCTTCTAGAAGAGAGCTCCTGGGAGGCTGACGACTCTTGTCCAATATCACTGGGGACAGGTGTGGGGGGAAACAGGTGTTTCGTTCCATGTGGTGGGGGCTTCAGTCATACAACCCTCTCTTCTCCCCTGGGTGGATTTGCAAGGAGGACCTGACCTGTGAAGCCCAGCCCTTTTCTTCCTTTTCCTCTTGGGAACAAGCTACCTGCTCCTCCTCATAGCAATTACAGAGGCGAGTCCCCGTGGGGAGTCCTGCAGGGTCCTGGGCCACCATCCACCACTATATGGTTAATTGTAATGATAACAGCTACTCTTGATTGAGAACTCACCACATGACAGTAACTATTCTAAGTGCTTCCACATAGTAACTCATTTAATCTTCACAACAACCCTGTGAGGTAAGAACTATTATTGTCCCCACTTCACAAATGAGGAAACTGAGTCTCGGAGGGATAAATAACTGGCTCCAGATCTCCCAGTTAGTAAAGACTGGGGCTGGGATGGGAACCCAGGCAATCTGGCTACAGAGCCCTAGCTCTCAATGACAAACTCTATCTAATTCTGGGATTTAGAAGCCAGTATCAGCTTCATCAACAAGGTATGGGCATTTTGGGCTACCCTACACTTTTGTCTTATTCCTCCACTGGTTCAAAACTCAGGCATGGAAGTGAGGTTCATTTATTGGGCCTCCACAAGCCACAAGAGGCATTGAGTGATGCCTTGAGGTTTGGCCCCTAGAAGCAGCAGCCTCTGTGAGCTGGGGATAGAACGACACAGTGGCTAAGAGCCCCGTCTCACCCACGTTCAAGTCCTGCCCTGCCACTGAACACTCGCGTTATCTTGTCATGTACTTACCCTCTCTGTGCCACAAGTTCCTCACCTGAAAAATGGGGAATAATCATAGTAGAAGCAGCCATCTCATAAGGCTGTTGTGAACATTAAGTAAGTTTATGTGCACTGAAGGCTTAAAAGGAGGTTGGCACCTGGGTGAGTGCCCAGCAAACAGAACCACTCTTACCACCACCCACATCCAGCTGTGCCGTCTCTTCAAGGAGGCAACGTCATAAACATCTTTCCAGCTTCATTTGTGTCTAGGACCAACCGAGATATTAACCACAGCAATGTATCCGAGTACTTCGTGCCTCATTCAGATGAATCAGGCCAACTGAACATGCAGATTTGTGTGTGATCAGTCCCCTCATGGGCAGGCGACTGCCTGTCCTTAGGGCAATTCCAACCATAAAATGTGTGTGTGGTTGTGAAAATGTGAGGATATCATGCAAGCGTGAAGGTGACCACAAAAGGGGCATCACACTGAGCTGGGGAATTGGCAACTTGCTCAATGATTGACTAGGAAGACCACAGAGGGCAAGAGGTTAACAAATGCTTCCGTTTTCCATCTGCATTTGCCTCCAGCACACCAGGGTATTTCTCTACACTCTCCTGCACTCACTCAAAATCAGGGGCAACCTAGATCCCGTGTGCTTTTGGAGGGATGAGAAATGAGGGGCCAGCTGCAAGGCCTTGTGCACCTGCTACCCTCCTTACCCTTGGTAATGCCAGATCCCCAAATCACTCCACAGTGAC